AATGCACAGTGTCAGCGTGAGGGTGAAAATGTTTTCCGGCGGCTCAGATGTTTGTCTTCCTGCTTTATCAATTTTAATTCTTACTGACAAATATTTACTCCCAATATTCAGACACCGCAACAAATACGTAGAAAAGCAGACGCGGAGGAAACCGTGGAGACCAATCAGGGTTAATCGTTAGGGTGAGATTCCACAAACAAAACTTCACAAAGAAGGTGGAGGGAGAGCAAGAATTAAAAAAAAGAAGAAGCAATTTAAGTTCAAATTCCCACGCTGCAGCCACAGCCTCAGTCAACAGCAGCTCAGATGTTTGCAGCCGCCTTTTTCAGCTCCTCATTATAAAGTAAATATATTTGTTCAAGGCCTTTATGCTTTTATTAGTTTGGTTTCTATAACACTAAAGGCAATTTCAGTCAGAATTATTTTCAAATTTAAAACACAAAGTTATTACATTTCTCATGAACTCTCTTTAATAAACCCGTAGGTGGCGTCTTCTCTGTGAAGTCCTCTCTATTCCTCAAAGAGCTGTGGCTTTTTGGATTATTTCTAAGGCCAGACACGTGTAACGCGTCGGAGACGTCCGGTCAACTCAAGGACGTTTACTGTAAAGAAAGGATTTTGACGGAGTAACAGGAACTGCAGGGAGACGTGTGTGAGTGACAGCCCAGAAAACCATAACAACACTTTAGTCCTGACACAAGTTTAAAGTGTAAATTTACTGAGTCTGAAAAGCCTGGAGAAAAAAAACAACTCTGGCAGCGTCCTGAAAACAGAAAAAAAAAAAAGAAATCTCTTCACGCTCTCTATGTGGGCTTAAACAAATGGGCCAGTCTGGGCCCCCGGAGGGCGAGGATGGTATTTCTTCTTTTGACTTATGAGCTGGTAGTCACTGCAGTTGGATGTGTACGAATACTTTGATGCAGTATCTGAATGTACTCTTTTTATCAAACGCTTCACCAACGGCAGGACGAGCAGTGGCTTTACACGCTGATAAAAATAAACCTCTCTCACTCACTCTCTCTCTCTGGTACTTTCACTTTTGCGTCCTCCTATGATACTACCTCTTGATCTTTGACCTCTGAACTCTGACACCGCACTGATTCTCTAGGTTCTCCATATTCCACCCAGCGCCCGAAATTGCTGCTAAATTGCTGTTTTCGAAATGTGATAATGATCCCAGTCTCTGCTGCTGCTGCTGTTACTGCTGCTGCTGTTCCTGCTGCTGCTCGTTTTTGGAAAGTTGATAATGATCCCAGTCTCTGCTGCTGCTGCTGCTGTTACTGCTGCTGTTACTGCTGCTGCTGCTGTTACTGCTGCTGTTGCTGCCGGGCCACGTGCAGCACAGACACCAAATACTGATTATTTTTCTGAAGTGGTTTGGATGTGAAGTCTTTTCCAGGCATAAACGTCCCAGAGTCAGACCTTATTTTGAATTTGTAGCTTTAACTTCAACTGATTTCTTTTCTCTTCAACCACTTTTTAATATCTCTGGTTTTGCTTGGACAAATACATGAGTCCAGGTCAAGTATTATTCACTCTTATCCAGTGAGGAACAAACTCATCACCAGACTGTTTTCAGACAGAACTGAAGAATTCAAACGTTCTGGTTCTGGTTCTGGAGGCGTCTTGATGCCAAACCGTGCCACCTCTCGTGACGGAGGCCTTTATGAAATATTTATTTATTGGTAACTATTGTTGTAACGACGCCAGCTGCATTTGAGGGATTACATTTTTGGTATTAATGAGGTTGGCCATGTAACAAAAGCCCAGCTGCTCCGAGAAGTAGAGCATCACTCCATGTCATGGGTGGAATTAAAAAAAAAAAAAAAAAACTGCAACAGGTTCACAGAGATTGGATCCCACCATGTGACTCACTATTGTTGTTGGAAAATACCAGGAATGAACACAAAAAAACAGTGAGTACAAAAAAAAAAAAAAAAAAAGAACTGCAACAGGTTCGCAGAGATTGGATTCCACCATGTGACTATCACTATTGTTGTTGGAAATACCAGGAATTAACACAAAAAAACAGTGAGTCCAAGACTTTATTTAAGGCCTCGTCCTTCATGGTTTTTTTAATCAACGGGAAAAAAAAACTGAAGGCAGTTTTTACCTCAGATATTAAAAACTCAAATGCAGTTGCCAGTCGTCACTGGGACGATGTCAGCACTGCCTGTGGTGAAGGTTGGAATTGCAATCTTCTACACCACTGCAGCCCTTCATTCACTTCAAGTCTGAATGAGTTCAACACCAAAAAAAAAAAATATTTGGTGGTAAAACTTTAAAGGGTACGAGGTCATTTTAATGAAAGTAGTAGAAGAAGAAGAAAAGATAGAAGATGAACAATGACAACAAAAAAACGGGAAGAAAAAAAGATGAAAATAAACAATCAAAGAATAAAAGAGGGAGAGATAAAAGAGGGAGAGATGAAGGCTGAGTCTGGCAGGTGTCACGGAAATTTATTTCCTGCAGAACCACCTGAAAATAAGCCCCAGCCTCTCAAACTCCTCACCCCTCGCCTCACCCCCCGCCTCACCCCTCTCACTGCTGCCATATAGCAAAGTTAGCCATGCTTTAAATTGAATAAGGCTGGTTGTGTTTCAGCAGGCTGTGATGACAGGTACAAGCCGGTGTCAGTTAAAGGTTAAATGCACGAGAGGGAAGTCAAAAAGTCCAAGGACAAATACGGAAAAAAATATATAAATACTCAAAATAAGAAGATTCTTTCTCTACATCTCCTCTGCTCGACTGTAAACACTTTCTGTTTTTATTTATTTTTAATTATTAATTTTCAATTATTTAAGTATAAAAATATCTGACTGTTTACACTGTAGTATATGACAATATTTATAGAAAACCATTTTTCTGTTGGCGACTGTTTACACTGTAGTATATGACAATGTTTATAGAAAACAATTTTTCTGTTTTTTTTTTTTTCTGAAATATCTTGGTATTTTTTTCACCACGGCGGCAGAAGGAAGGAATCGAACCCTCGCCCCTAACTTCACGCTAGGTTAACAGGTTAAAGGGTGAACAAACCCATCACTTGGTTCAGTGACTTTTTTTTTAACTTGGCCTGATTACGTCCACACCCGTTTGACGGACAGTCACTGGGGCGGGGTCTGGCGTTGACCTCACACATCGCCGTGGAGACCGGCGCGGCCCTGAGGCGGAAAAATCATGTTGTGTTTCTGAATCTACGTCAGTGCCTTTGATTAATAAGTGTTTTAGGAACTTTTTGGCGAAGAAGAAGAAGACGACGAAGACGAACTCTCAGTGGAACCGCAGGAAGTGCCAGTGTTTTAGAAATGAAGTTTGTACGAAGACGACAAACGCGATCGTGGGAATAGACACGGAGTTCTTTTTTTGGTCAACTCCTTTGCTGTGACTGAAACGCTTTCACTGAGTGTGTGTTTGTGTGTGTGTGTGTGGTTTACTGAACACAGAGAGAACAGACAGAAATGATCATCCAGTCACGGAGCTTCAGAAACTCCGGTTTACAAATAAAAACCACACTCCCGTCAAACCCACCGCACGGCAAAGATCACAGAAACATCTGGATGTTCAAATCCTAAAACTGTGTCTGAAACGAAGACACGAAGACGCTGTCAGGCTGCAGACATCCTTGTCCCATGTCTGAGAGAGATTCCTCGACTTTAACCATCGAGACTCCGAGGCTACGGCGATCACGATGTTGGGAGTTGTGTGGAGAAGCCGTCGACGTGTACGTTAGCGTGTTTCGTCCGAGCTTCGTCTTTGTTGCGGCGTGAGATTAGCTCGTCGTGTTGGGAACGCAGTCGGGTTTGAGGGCTAGAACGTTCTGAACGCAGCAGACACACACACATCTGTGAAGTCTCTGGTTGGTCGGGAGACTGATTGGTTTTCATCACGGCCACAACTGTGTACGCGTTGGAGTACAACGCAGTACAACGCAGTACAATGCAGTACAACGCAGTACAATGTGGGCAAAAAAAATCAATAATAAAAGACGCTGCTTTGAAAACTGGACTTCACATCAGATTTCTCTACGTCGACTGTTTGTTTAGTTCATGTTATATAAAAAAAGCAGCATCGACTGATCACTGGACTGATCTTCAATGTAAAATATATATATATGTTTTAATTAAAATTTAAAGACAACTACCACCTCCTACCACTAATGATGCTGGTGGCAGAAGCTGCAGAGTGGTTTGATATAAGGAGGGCAAATTAAATATGCCCTTTGAGCTTCTGTAGGTTCTGTGTTTGTTCAAATGTATGCAGATGGATGTTTGTGTAGAGGAAAAAAAAAAAAAAAAAAAAAGAGAATCAGCAAAGAGAATGTTCTCAAACACAAAGGGCAAACGCAGTCCACTTCTGTACTCCATTCATGTGCTCGCAGGCGGAGGGGGGGGGGGTGATGGGTGGAGGTGGGGGGGGGGGG